TCAATTATTAAGCAATTGATTTTTATTTTTTAGGGTTTAACCAATTTTGGGTTTTTTAAAAGCCAGGATTTTTTTAATTTTTAAAGGATATTTTTTTTTGGAGGTATTTTTTTTGGAAAATTACCTTAGGGGGGGGGAAAAAGGTGATTCATTTTTTCAAAGGGCATGTATGTAAATGAAATAAAAACCCCGACGGGGTTAAACCGCTTCGATTGATAATTCCCATGAGCAAATTTTTAAAGAAATAAAAAGAAAAAGGTACAAAGATTGCCAACTGGTTCAAGTTTTACTTTTGAATTAACTAAATGTGACCGTCTTTTCTATTCTAACGGTTTCTTTCAGTTTTCTAACGGACATTTCGTCTGTAGGACTTTCCTCCAACTTCTTGCTTATACTCTGAGACACTTAATGAGGAAGAAGGGGCTTGGAAATTTGACACGCAAAAAGGACGGGAGGAAAACTGCCTACCTAGCAGGTATATTTACTCGACATCCCCATGGTGCTGCCCATATAAAATGATCTCGTATGCATCCTGCATTAGTGGGATGTCGAGTAAATATAGATAGAGTTAGATAGGTTGTCTTCGCCCTGTTCGTTTTGTTTTGTTCTGTGAAATTTTCCAAGGCCTCAAAGTATAAGTGTTCTTTTTTGTTTCCATTTTCCTTAAGATGTTGCTTATGTCCATAGAATTCTCAGCATCCTCCTGTAAAAACCCCATTTCTGTTGCCTCTAATCTTCTCTTCATCTGAGAGGAAAAATGTCCAGCATTCAGGCTCCATCAAGTAGGATTGATATTTCATAGCAGCTGAGCGCTCTTTATTTTTGTCTATAACGAATCCCTCATGTTGCTTAGTAGTACTTTGTAACCACTGATAATAAATCCCGACAGGAACCTTACTGTAAAGGGTGAAAATTCCAATGAGAAGACAGCTTTTTTCTTACGCCTTCCTCGTCACTTTCACTTACAAAGGCTTGAATCAACTTGTGGTATGGTTTCAGGCTATATCCAACAATGACGCACGTTGGGATTGTCTATCCCGGATCGATAACATCACCTTCCTAAGAAATCGACCATGGTGAAAAATTCGAACCAAGACATCATGACCAGAAAACGAACGTTCTAATCACTCAGCCACGAATTTACAAATAAAATATTAGATATTTATTTATTAGACTGCTTATTTAAAAAAGAAAAAAATTATATTTACATTATTAAAATTAACACAGTCGTATTAAAACTAATGCGATGCAATTTTATCATTTACCAATTTATAAAGAAATAAATATGAAAACCATTTTATTCATAAATTTATAAACTTTTGATAAAAAATAAAAATATGTGAACGTAAAGAATTCCTTATTTTGTAAGAATTCCTATTATTTACCATTTTATAAAGTTTGAATAGATTGGCAATTAGCTGATGTTTTCCAACCATTCCGATAAAGAATATACATTAAATAAAACGATGTAAATAAATAACCGAATAAATAGTTTTTATTATTTTTGTTTTTGTTCTCAAGAACAAAGAAAATGTATAAATTCGCATTTATATGTTTAGATTTTATTACAATTCTAAAAAGTAATTTAAAAACATTAGACAATGACGATAATTGAAGGGTAGTTAAAATAATGGCGATGTCATGGTAAAAACCCTCCTTTGGGCATAGCGCATATTTTTCTGGCACGAATGTCCATATTTGACAAATGTTTTATTGATTTCTCTTTTTAATCGTTGAAATTTCAGGATTTACGTTCGCGCAAATAATATGAGGAAGGCTCAGTTGGTAATCGTCGTCAAAAGCGAAATGTGAATGCGACTGCGAACGGAAGAAAGCAGTGGTAAGTAAGGAATAAACAGACTTTCTAGCAAGAATAGCGAGATAAGATTGGTCTGAAAATAATACAAGATTGATCTTAAAAATGACACGAAATTGTCTGAAAATGATACGAGATTGGTCTGAAAATGGCACTGATACTGATTGGTCTGAAAATGACATGTGAGATTGGTCTGAAAATGACGGATGATTTGGTCTGAAAATGATAAAAATGAGATTAGTCTGAAAATGGCATGATACTGATCTTAAAATGACACGATTGGTTTGAAAATGACATGTGATTGGTCTGAAAATGATACGAGATTAGTCTGAAAATGGCATGATACTGATCTTAAAATGACACGAGATTTGTTTGAAATGACATGTGATTGGTCTGAAAATGATTGGTCTGAAAATGAGATTGGTCTTTAAAATGGCATGATACTGATCTCCTAAAATGATACGAGATTGGTCTGAAAATGGCATGATACTGATCTTAAAAATTATACGAGATTAGTCTGAAAATGACATGTATACTGGTCTTAAAATTACATAGATTTGTCTTAAATGACATAAGAATGGTCTTAAAATGACATAAGAATGGTCTTAAAATGACATAGAATGGTCTTAAAATGACATCAGAATTATCTTAAAATATCATAATATTGGTCTTAAATGACATAATATTGGTCTTAAAATGACATAAGATTGGTCTTAAAATGACATAAGATTGGTCGTTAAATATTACGCAATTCCAACCGTTTCAACTGATTTTTAGGTAGATTTTTATTTGGTTTTTTATTTGTTGGATCATGCTCATTTGGCTTTTTTATCGCAACATTTCGAAATATGTACGCAACGGCATTCATGAGAAATCGGCCATAGTTACAAAACTTTTTTTCTACTTCGCACTTGACACTTTATTCAATCCACCGATTTGATTAATCTCCACTCCTTTCCATATTTCAGGGTAAACAAGATAAATCTCTACTCTAGTTCAAAAGACCGAGTAAGAGTATGAACTGGGCGATAGGCGCCTATCTACTTTATCCTTCAACACCGAAATTAAATATAACGCATATATTGTGATTCGGAGGGCGATAAATTGTCTATTTTCATTACGCACTAGAGGCTCGCCTATAGTCCGGCTCACAATCCTCCACCAGTCTTATGAACAGGAGTAAGAGTTATCCCTTGTTTCCTGTTTACGATTGATTTTCCGGTATCTTCTAATGTCTGCTTTAGTTTTTATCACCTCCACCAATTGGAGTAGATAGATTGGCCTATAGTCCAGCTCACATTCTTCCCCAGTTTTCTGAACTGGGTTCGATGTCTATACCTTGTTTCCTGTTCAGGATTGAGTTTCCTGATCCTTCTAAAGACATTTCCTTATGTAACCTTCTATCTTGCGTGGCTCTTGGGCCTTGCACGTGGTGAATATCATAGGAAAATCAAACAAAAAGAACGATTGCAAAGTGTTTCGACGATCCTGCATTCGTCAGGTGCCATCCTACTCTTTAAAGATGTGGTTCCTAAAGTTTTTTTTTTGAGGGCTGCATTTTCGAATCAAAATTTGCTGGCGCCTCAAAAATTTTATGTGACAAAAAGTACGCTTAGAAATTAATGAAAAACAGGAAGAGAGAATGCTAAAGGGCGATAACCACGGATTCGAAGACAGAACATTAAAATTGATAACTCTCCTTACAATTTGCAAACCCAGTTACTATATTCTTAATACTTGATATAATGCAAAATATCCCAATCATAAAGAAGGTCAATAATTATTTATAACTGTTTATACTAGACTCATGTATACAATTACAAGTAATCTATAATATTTTTCAATGTTGAAAATCATATTCATTTTTGCAGGTTAATTTTTTTAAAACTGTTTCTAAATATTTGATTGTCTTTTAATCATTCAGCCTCACCTGCTATCCTCTCTCACCCTCTCACCGCCTTACATGCTATCCTCTACCGCCTCACCTTGCTATCCTCTACCGCCTCACCTGCTATCCCTCTACTGCCTCACCTACTATCCTCTACACGCCTTACCTGCTATCCTCTTCCGCCTTAACTGCTACCCTCTACCACCTTACCTGCTATCCTCTACCGCTTTACCTGCTATCCTCTACCGCCTTACCTGCTATCCTCTACCGCCTCACCTGCTATCCTCTTCCGCCTTAACTGCTACCCTCTACCACCTTACCTGCTATCCTCTACCGCCTTACCTGCTATCCTCTACCGCCTTACCTGCTATCCTCTACCGCCTCACCTGCTATCCTCGTCTGCCTCACCTACTATCCTCCTCCGCCGTGCCTATGAAGTGCGCCGCATTGCTTTGGAACGACTGCGTTAAGCGTTTCGGAATTTTGAGCCGAAAAATATTATTAATGGCAAATCTTTGTAGAATGTGCGTGAGTAAAGACTATAAAACTTTTGAAAGAGTAACATGTTTGTTAAGCTGTTTGGTGTACGTTTCTTGTTTTATTTATTTTTTTCAGAAAGATAACGCCCAATACTGCAATGGAAACGGCAAGCTTGTTTGTGGCCTGTGCAATTGTAACTATGGTAACTATGGACGAAATTGTGAATGCAGTGGAGGCAGAAAAAACAAGAAAAGACTGCATTCGACCGTAAGGAAAATCTTTTACACACACACACACACACACACACACACACACACACACACACACACACACACATATAACCACGGTATTTATGGGCGAAATTGTGGATTCATCGGAGGCGGGGAAACGGACGAATGACAATGCATTACGTATTTGAATGTTACGTATACACACACACACACCTATATATATATATATATATATATATATATATATATATATATATATATATAGAAAAACTAGACTCATTTTGAAAACCCTCGAATTTTTGATTTGCTTATCAAATCAATCTCGAGGGGAAAAAGGTTTTAAAAAAGAAAGAGCTACAAACATGGACTTCTGCCGACAAAAAAAAAATCGCACAGATGCAGGTCTGAAGCCCAAAGAAAAACCCCCGATACGAGTAACAACTAACTAACAAAAAGAGCTCAATACAACCGTAGAGCAGACCTAGATACACCTAGTGAGCCAGACAAACCTACCTAGGTTTCACAAACGGATCGTCAGGGAAAAAGTTTCGCTAACGAGGCAAAGAGAAACACACATATTTATAGGTGATAGCTAAAATCATACCACGTGACAAAATAAAAACAAAAAAAAAAAAAACAACCTAAGTGGGGGGGAATATTTATTCAACAAAAAAACGATCCGTTTAGGTGAAACCTAGGTAAGGTTTGTCTGGCTCACTAGGTGTATCTATATATATATATATATATATATATATATATATATATATATATATATATATGGTGTTCCAATCATTTGAACCAATTTTAAATGTGAATTAAGTTTAGACGTAGTATTATTTTTCTTTTTCTTTCAGTTTTATCAACTTTAGTCTTCGGCAACATAACGCACCTATGTAAATCGGTTAGAAAATAGGGTTTTGGAGAGATAGCAAAAAGTCAAAATTTACGAAGAACTACAAATAACAGGAGATTATTAAAATCAGCATTTAAAATATTCAATTACTGACGAGGCTCGATGTTTGCTTAACTTCCGTGATCGTACAGGATCTGATGTTTCAATGTCATTATTGCTGTAAAAGCCCTAATAGGCGCAATTTAGGTTACCATTAACCAAAATGGAAGGCAAAAAAAGGTTCTATCAGTCGTTTAAAAAGAATGCAGTTTGATTTTGGAGGCGTTAAAATTAACAGCCATTCCTTGCCTCCATTTAACAACAAAGTGTAGGTCGTTTTTATCAGCTTCAGATTGACCTAATCGAACCACTCAGACTTAATATGAAAACAGTATATATAGTTTTGTCATAATTATAGATAACTGAGTTGAGAACATGCCATAGGAAAGTCGTTGATGAAAATTCGGAACAACTGGGACCTAACATAGCGCCCTGCGGAACAGCTGGATTAATGCCAAAAAGATCTGGAAGATAGGCCATTCAAGACATCTTTCATTTTACTATTTGATAACAAAGACTGAATTAGTTCAGCTAGAAAAGCAGATATCATATTACTTCATTATCTGTCTATATTTCTGAGATGAGGTATTATGTACACTATTTACATTGATCGGACCATCATCCCTCATCTTTGTTGCCGCCATATGTATCACAACGTTTCGGCCTTCTTCAGGTGGTTGGAATGTCGAACTGAACCCCTTTATTTCGCTCACTGGGGTAGACTGTTCTAGTTCCACGTGCCATGTCTAATGGATGTCAGTTTCAGTTATCTTCTGTTAATTCCCTTCTCCAAGTTCTCCACTGCCTTAACCAGATATTGAACTCACACCCTTTGGGTCCTGTTACTGGATCTAACTATCGCCTTTATCCACATGGCACAGTGGATAAAGGCGATGTCATTATAGCTGGTCAATGTATCTGTAGATGCTAGACAAAGCGTCTTGGCTAGAAGTCTAAAGTAGTAAATCACTTGCAAGTTCTTGATCTGCTCCACAGCACTGAACTGCGAAAAAGCAGTCTGCGCTCGCATATTGTACAAATATCAGGGATGTCTATAGAGCTGTGATTTAGTTGGATGTTGTCTCAAGATGTGTATATGTATAGCCCTCAGCATCCAATGTAGTTTCCATCAAGTTTAGACTCTTGGATTACTTTTCTCTTTGTTATCACCCTTCATGAAATATTGATAACGTCCCTCGACAATGTTGATGATGATCATCATAGCTTTCCACAATTTCCTGTTCCTGTAGCTCTTATAGACTTTGTCTTTCTGTTATTTCTCCTAAGCTCGGATCCACCATCCACTTACTCATTATGTATTTCATGCGTTGTTTTACTCTGACCCACTTGCACTCTATAAGTCCCGTAGTGTTAGTTTCTCCAAGACCTCTTGCCTTATTATGTTCCCGAGAAACCTCAACTGTCTCTTTTCGGTGTTAAGTTTTAGTTTTATTTCTGTTTCCATTTCTCCGTCTTTACCAGTTGTTCGTTCCATAGTATCCTTAGCATCCTTCTGTAGAGCCACATTTCTATTGGTACATGTCTCATCTTAAACTTTGAGGAGATCGTCCAGCACTGACTGTCATACATGAGGACAGATATCACAACATTTAGTAGTGTATGCCTTTGTTTTAGCGAAATTTTCTATTTCTTTGTACTCTGCTTAGTATTTAGAATGCTTCTTTGGTTATCCCAAGACGCCTTCGAATCTTAATTCCTTTTTTCCGTTTTATGTTAAAACACCACCGAGATATTTAAATTTCCGTACTTATTTGTTAATGCTTATTCTTCTGATTGGTAATTCACACTTTGGACTCATTCTTTTTATTTTACCATAAAGAATTAAAATGTTTTGTTAACGATTAAAAACAACGAGTCGTGATATTTCTCGTCTACAGGTGATTGTGGCATTGATATTCCTTCACTGAAAATATTTTCTACTGCTTATTGATAACCACTTCATTCTTTTTCTCGTCCAGGGGTGACAGTGAGGTGTGTTCCGGAAACGGAAATTGCCTGTGCGGAAATTGTATGTGCTTACCAGACTCGGTAAGTTAACAGATTTTCTTTTCCTTTTTTTCTTTTAATTGCATTATTTATTTAACTATTAAAAGTGGCGTCACGATTAATTATATTTCTTTCATGTTTTTTCTACGCTAGTGGTCGCCACCGGATGATCCACAGAAAAATTGTGACATTATATCAGTTTTTTGTGAAACCATGTCGATTAAAAAAAATGGCGAGTAACAAAAACGTATTATGGATGGTATATATGTTCAAGACCTTATGTAATCTCAAAATAAACACGAGAACACGAGAACACAAACGTGACATCATCCAGCTATAGTATAACCTAACATGATTTACAAAGTCATGTTTAATACTTATCACTGGATAGTTTCGTATTATTACTGTTGATACCTAGTTACTGGATGGTTTACTAGTATAATTTTCTACAAACATGGCATAGCAACGGAGCAATAGCGAGATCTTCAAGAATCGGCTTACGCACCAGATACAAATTCATAAACATTCATACTCGAAAACTATTTTTGCAAAATATCAAGAAAAAAAAGAAAAAAAAAAGAAAGTCAAATCGCCATACGAACTAATGGAACAAATATCACAGTAAAATGTGTAATCTATATCTATAATTCTCAAAATGTGTGTGTATGTATGTATGTGTGTGCAATTGGATGTTGATTAAGCGTTTCCATAGTTTTCATCCGATTTTGATTAATTTTTTTGTTTGATAGATAATTTATCAGTGCCGTCTTTGAGTCCAAATTGTTGGCGACAATGACTCTCCACTACTTCCTGTCCATTATAACTCTTAGCAACGTTTTATATTTACTATTTGTTCTTGGATATATATATATATATCTTTCATGAATACTTTAATAAAAATAAATAGTTTAAATTATTACAATAATATTATCTATATCTATAATTCTCAAAAATGTGTACGTATGTGTGTGTGCGCGTGTTTGTGTGTGTGAGCTGATGTTTCTTTATGCGTTTCTACAGTTTTTCATCAAACGCTTCTGCGCGCGAGTCTGAAAATGATGATCAAATGACCAAACGGCTGAGCAGAAATGCCTCTTCAACTGCTGCTGCGCGTGAGGGTGAAACAAGTCTGAGAACGCAAAAAACAAATTGTTAACAAAACCCCACCCCCACCCTAATTTGGGGATGTGCCTCAGTTGCACCCAATTTTTGTTATTAATATTGATTTTCGTGGGGGTTGACTTTAGACTTAAACGTCTCCAATTGAACAGCAAAAATTCCCAGCAATGAAAGACCCGGTCGAAGACAGGTTATACTGCTACTACAATTGAATAAACTTCAAATTTTCAATTTCTTTAAATAATTTCACTACAACTTTGTTATCTTTAATGCGTGCATTTCATATTAATAAAATTAAAGTTTTCCAATTATTATTGCTTAAAATTATTTCTCTTCCAAATTCATATTAGTGTTCCACCAAATTTAAAATGATACATTTAGTGGTAGATGAAGATCAAAAGGTTTATGACCGTTGCTAAAACACCACAACTTCAGGTACAGTGTTAATATCGTACAGCACGCATGTTGTCATTTCAGATAATTTTCTCCGCGGTGTGATTATTTTTGTGCCAGGAAGGAATCCTGCAGCGACAGGCGGAACGTTTATTATAACCGACACGTTCATTTGAAACATTCCAACCAACATACGTATTGCAAACGGTACTTGCACCTGCTAAAAAAAGAGGCGGCTAAATATTTCCAAACCGTTCTGGGTATGACGATAAACTACACCCGCCTCCTGGGTATGACGATAAACTATACCCGCGTCCTGGGTATGACGGTAAACTACATCCGCGTACAGGGTGGGACGATAAGCTACATCCGCGTCCTGGGTATGACAGTAAAACTTCATCCGCGTCCAGGGTATGACGATAAACTACATCCGCAGATTGGGAATGCCGATAGACTACATCCGCGTCCAGGTTAAGACGATAAACTACATCCGCGTCTTGGGTATGACGATAAACTACATCCGCGTCTTGGGTATGACGATAAGCTACATCCGCGTCAAGGTTAAGACGATAAACTACATCCGCGTACAGGGTAGGATGATAAGCTACATCCGCGTCGTGGGTATGACAGTAAACTTCATCCACGTCCAGGGTATGACGATAAACTACATCCGCGTCTTGGGTATGACGATAAGTTACATCCACGTCAAGGTTAAGACGATAAACTATCCGCGTACCACAGGGTAGGACGATAAACTACATCCGCGTCCTGGGTATGAGAGTAAACTACATCCGCGTCCAGGGTAAGACGATAAACTTCATCCGCGTCCAAGGTAAGACATTAAACTACATCCGCGTCCAGGGGTAAGACGATAAACTCATCCGCGTCCAGGGTAAGACATTAAACTTCATCCGCGTCCAGGGTAAGACGATAAACTACATCCGCGTCCAGGGTAAGGCATTAAACTACATCCGCGTCCAGGGTAAGACATTAAACTACATCCGCGTCCAGGGTATGGCGATAAAATACATCGAATAACACTGGCACTAATGGTTTTTGCTCGATAATACTTGCTCGAAAGGTAACCACCGAATAGTTATCTGCATAATGATACGTATAGAGAAATAGTATAGGAATAGCAATCCGTATAAGGGATAGAATAGTAGAAATAGAATAGAATAGAAAGTGATCAATTAGACGCCACGCTAATTCCCATATATACATTTCCTTTACCATTACGCGATCAACTTATTCAAAACGGGATCACCTGTGTTTACTCTCTGATGGTCTGTGTTCAAACTTCAGTGTCGGCAGCGACACTTTATTCTTATAATAGTTTTTTAGGGGGCTTTCTTGACGGGTCGAGAATGTTCAACACCGCTCTGTAAAAATGTCCTGGATCCCTTCTAAACGGTTCAGTACGTCTTTGTAAGTTCATCTAGAAGCGCTATCTCATTTTGTTGCTAATGTAAAAAAGTCTTCTAACCAAAATAATTTTTATTTATTTTTAATACATCATACTTATTATAAAACCCAGGTTGTGTGTGTGTGTGTGTGTCTCTGTTCGTTTATATATTGGATCGGATTTCCTACATTTTTCAACCGATTTCAACAAAAATTCACAGGACTACGTAAAATTACCTTGCAGTGGTTCTGACAGCGCCAAAAAATTGGAAAAACACAATTGTTTTTTTGCATGAAATCAATTGAAAATACGATTAAGGGACAACTCATATCGACTTATACTTATTATAAAACCCAGGTTGTGTGTGTGTGTGTGTGTGTGTGTGTGTGTGTGTGTGTGTGTGTGTGTGTGTGTGTGTTCGTTTATATATGGGATCGGATTTCCTACATTTGTCAACTGATTTCAACAAAACTTTTTTTGGGGCGGGTAGTGTTTCTTATTGTCTTGGACACGTTTTTCTTTATTTTTACATTCAGAATGCTTTAAAAATTCCATTTACAAGACAATTGTTTATAATAAAATTCTATTCAATCGGTAGACTCATAACGACTGAAAACAATGTTTTTGCTTGAGTTTGGGTTTGACCAATTCGTAAAAAAAAAAAAAAAAAGGAACAAAAAACTAATTAAGACATGCGTGTCCGTCAACCTTAAACAATAATCTTTGTCAATTTTATTTTTCAGTCTTTATGATGGTCGATACTTGATCTATCTCTTACTGTTACATCCCCGGGCAACGCCGGGCTCTACTGCTAGTATATATATATTTTTTTTTCAATTTTTTTTTTTAGTTTGGAAACAACCGTTACAGTGGGCGCTATTGTTCTTGTGACCGTATGAGTTGTCCAAGATTCAATGGATCTGTTTGCGGAGGTAAGGCTTGCTTTGTTGGTATTGATTACGCTTGGCTAGTATAGAGCACACGAGCAAAAGCCAGATGGGGAGATTTAAGCTCCGTCTGCTATCAAATGGGCTTACGCTGTATCATAAAATATTGTCGATTAAATTAAATATTGATTTTTTTTCCAATAGTCCCTCCCTTTTAGAGTTGGAATAGCGAAATGTATCCGCCGCTTCTACACCGACAGTTTCTTTTCTCGCACTTCCTTACGGTGTAACACCCTTCCGGTTCCTTGCTTCCCTGATAAATACAGTCTGCAAAAATTTAAATGCAATGTCCCTCACCTTTTTCTGTTTTCTTGAAACACGTTCATCTTTTGTCCTTTCCTCAATCCTCCCTATTCTCAGTATTCACTTTCACACCCTGTTACCCCCTGCGTACTAGTGGCATTCCTGACTTACTTGGGGTGAAATGATTAAAAAGAATCCGATTCTAGCCATAATCAGAGAAAAGTATGAGTCTCTTTCTTCATTTAAAATAAAACTTTAGAAAAACTTTTCAAAAAAATTGTTCCGAAATAATATGTTGATTTCTTATGGAAAACTTTATGAATCTGCGGATTTCAGCTTCCACGGGTCTTGGAGCCGATCTACCGCGGATAACGAGGTTCTACTCAATATATACTTATGCTGCTTCAATTTCCTTTGAAACCCTGGTTTCTATAGGATCATCAAAGTTAAGCAGTGTCGAGCCTAGTCAGGATCTAGATGGGTAACCGTTTGGAAATACGGTAAGCGGTAATGGCTCTGAATTGTTAATCGGATAGCTGAGTTCCAATTTTCGTTGGGTTCGTTATATTCACTTAAGCCCAAATACTTTTTGGATAATGTAGGAATCTACGTCTTCTTCCCCAGCTATGGGTTAATTAGTAAGAATTGTATTACTAAATATTATCTAAAAAACTGACAATATAAAATATTTTCTGTCTTTAAATACCCTATAAAAACTTGACAAACCGTAAGAAAATGGATCAATCAATCGACCAATGAAAACCACCAACAAAAATATAACCTTGTGATAATTGAAGGAAAAGAAAGTGTGAAATTAAATTTAAAAGGTGCATCGACAAAAGAACGTGATGACAGATGTTGGAGATACAATAAGAATTGATACAAAATTTTTGTCTTTGAAAACGGTGTGGAAGATTTTTTTTTAAAGTAATAATGGTTTTAGTGATACAGGTCTTAGTAATTAACCCATAATTGGAGGAAGAAGAGGTGAATTCACACCTTTCCCGAGGGTATTTGCACGTAAATGAACATAACGAACCCAACCAGAACTTGAACTCGGCTCTCCATTTAACAGTCCCAAGCCATTATCCATGACACCATCCAAGCTTACAACACTTGGTATTTCCAAGCAGTCACTCATTTATGTACTGACAAAGCTCGACGTTGCTTAACTTCGGTGATATTTCAGAAACCTGTGTTTTAACGTGATATGGCCGTAAGCCGAAGTGAATTGAAATGGATATCACTTATAGAACGTGAAATTACAGCCGTTGGAGAAAAGAAGTCAAACGAACGCCGTGTATGAAATTATGTGTCAGTGTTGAGTGGGTGTGGCAGGATGTAAAGTGAACATTTGGCTCTGAATGATTGAACGTTCTATGACTTTATTGACTGGCTGTATATGAACGTGCGCGTTTTTCTTTAATGAACTCGGAATCTACTTGGTAGTTACCCGAGCTCCCGCCAGAGCTGGATGTGGCACAAGGCTGGTTTAAAGTAGGGTTTTCCAAGTCCGTCGACCCGGGCAAATATTCCCCGTAATTACGGGGTCACGTTTGTCTACCTCCCCAAACTCTACCCTTGTATATAGGCTCTTCTGGATTCCTCTCTGCCCGAAGGCATTCGACAAGCACTAAGAGCTTAGCGCGCGGCTAAGACCTCTCGGTATTTACCCGTCGGGATGTGACACAAGGCCGTTTTTTTTAAGTGGGGCGTTCCGGCTAAGACTTCTCTAACAGTACTGGTGGACAACCTTCTTTACATAAATTTTTTTCACATAAGATAAACTGTTTTTTAGCCTTTCTTATTGGTCCATAAATCTTCTTAGATTTATGGACCAATCAGAAGGACTAAAAAACAGCCGTTTCCCTTCAAACCAGATCAACTTATCCTTTGAAGTCCGAATTAGAAGCTTCTAGTTTGAAAGCTTTTCTTATTGACACTAAAATTATTGTTCATTATGTTTGAATTATTGGATTCGCTTCAAGTTACTCGACCTTCAATATTGATTTGTAATGATTTCATATCAGTATTGAACTAGTTTCAATAATGATTTCATATCACTAAAACATACAGTATCAATAAGGAACTAATACCGGTGTGTTTTCTGTTTCAGGTATCAAACATGGAGAATGTAATTGTGGACAGTGTGTGTGTCGGGAAAATTATCAAGGCCAGGCGTGCGAAAATGAAATTAGAACGGAGAGTTGCGTTGGTTCCAATGGA